CAGTGAAAGTCCCGTCGAAATCGGTCCAGCCGTTCCAGAGATTACCCGGGACAAACAGACAGACAGACAGACAAAAATTGTAAAAAATGGTATTTTGGCATATGTACCGTGTAAACATACATATGCATTTAATAAAAAGCCGTTATTTTAATATTACAAACAGACACTCCAATTTTATTTATTTGTATAGAGTATAGACTATTCTAGTCGTGAATTTTTAATATTTGAACTCGGCACATATCATTCCGTTTACAACAGCTATGTTCTTATCGTAGTTTTTAATACGCTACCTCTATTTTCAGTATACAGTTGGTCAATTTTTTAACTTGCCCCCCGATATGATATGGTTCTCCTTGTCTCTACACTCGATAGTATGTACCTACGTATATTTGAGAAAAGTTTTTTGCGAGATAGAACAATTAGCTTAGGTTTATGATTCTTCTAATACTTAGTACGTAAATGAGATTTATAGCACTGTGTGATGTAGATAAATTACTACCTTTAAGTTGAAAATTCAAATCGAAAAGAAGCTTACAAATCATGGATTAGACAAGATTTTACGAAAGACAACTGCCACCCCAGAAAAGGGTCCCCTTTCCCTTGACCCAATAGCTATAGGGTGAATACGCCACAGAATATTGGTCTTAATACCTTTTTAATTGGTGTTGGCTGATCAATAGCAAATACTAAATTATTGTTACTAGTCACGACGAAAATTTATTGCCGATAATTGTCTTTCACTATATTGACAATAAATGACTTGTAAATACTTTACCTACACAGAGATTATTGAATAAATATTTAAACGGACATTTGGTATGATTATTTAAGAATATGAAGCGATTTCATAGTCTCAAAATCGTGTTTTACTTGAATTTAATAGCTATTTTGCCACTTTCTCTAAAATGATTCGAGCTACCTTCTCTCTTCCTATATCAGAAATATCTCAATCTATTTGAGCCATCTTCTCTTTCTTTATCAGAAATATCCTAATCTATGGGTATCAAAAATTTCCCGTTCTTAAAATTGCGTTCCTTCTTATCTACTTTTCCTTTCGATATATTCCCAATTTTCCCATGTTGTCCATGAAGATCCCAGTTTTCCCCTTATTAAGTAAATATAACTAAAGCTTATAGTTGGTACAATTTGCGAGGCCAAAAGGCCACGCTGGCCAGACGGGTTGGTATAGGGTTTGTGTCAAGTTTTACTTCTATTTGCAGTGCTGTTGTCCTGCGTAGTTTGTTCCCTTATTCGGCTCCTACGACACCCACGGGATGAATAGGGGTGGCGACATTCCGACACCACACGGGTACTATACTGTCAAATAATAACCTTCCTATTTCAAAGACGGTCAAAAATAAAATTTGAATACTGAAGAATTTATTCTCATTGGGAGAAACACGAAAGTTTAGGTACAAGCTAACTGACACAATAGACAAAAAAATAATAATTAAAAACTTCTTTGTAACAAACTCGTGGTAAAGGATCAACGCAGTCAGCCATGCGTTTAATTTATTTGATTACTGTTAGCTTTACTGACTAAGTAGTCACATAAACCGTTTAACACTAAACAGATAGACAGTGGTCGGTCCGGTGAGTAGAACAGTGTGGTGGCGTTTGCCAACCCAGCTTTTGTGGGCCTGGTTTGTTGGGCTAGCCTTTTGCCAGGTGATAAGTCCCCTACTTATCACCTGGCATAAGGCTAGCCCATAGGGTCGAAGGCTAGGTCCCAGTTCTGGCAACCTAATTATAATTAGAGAAAAATCTTATACACTTTAATCTACATACTAGTATAACAAGCGGTTTTACAATATTAGTTTAACGACAGTTATCAGTAAGTTATCACCTAGTTGCTAACACTACACTAAATAACTTGGAACCATTGCTACACTTGTACTAATAAATTGATAAAACTACTTTATATAATCACGTCTGAATGGTTAACATGACAACAATCTTTTGTATTAAAAAATTAACAACTTTCCCACATTGCTAATTTAACTCATTTCTGTTTTGAAAAGACAACTCCCGCATTAGGAATATATCCTTGGGGACTTTACAAACATACATGAAACGGACACAAAGAACACCCAGACACGGAACAACAATTTGTGGATCACACAAAGTGTCGTCCCATGTGGGGTTTCAACCCACAACACTCGGCGCGGGTCGACCGCTTTAACCACTACGCCATCCCTACAGTCGAATAAAACATACAGTGCTAACAAAACAACTACTCTGAAGCCATCAAAATATATTGACTCCCCAGGATATTTAAGTACAAATATAATCTTAATTTAATTTCTATTAAAATACCGTAATATAAACTGACTACTCAAAAACCAACTTTACTAAATAATTAATTCCTTCACCTCATAGAGAAAGGTCTCATCATAGGCATCAGGTGATCAGGTTTGCTGAGTTCCAAGCTCGTGATATCATCACCACGGCAGTAACACTTATGTTCCATCGTCATCTCTGCAGCTGACACTTTATAATTTGGATTTGAACTGGATTGGAAACAACGAGGGAAGGGTTAGGAAGAGTTAATGTTACTTTTAATGTTGAATGAATTGTATCTTAACACCGGCACTACACACTTTAAATACTGTTAGGTTGACAGATTTACTCGAGGACTATAATTTTTTTCGTCTCTGGATAATATTGATTGAGTATGAATGGGCCCTCATAAATAAAATCATTTTTTTTTAACTTTTTCAGAATGATATTTTACACAGATTTATATTGCATTTTATTTTCTTCTAAATAGAACAACTCAATTATAACAATATGTTGTGAGATGCCAGTATTGTTAAAAAGGGTGAGAATCAGCAGGTAACGAAGGCAGGAAGGAAAAAACATGACGTTCCTATATTTATATTAACAAATATGAATCCTTACGCACCATAGTCACCAAGTTTATGCAAAAATAAAACACACATTTTCCAAACTGCCAATATTCAGATCAAATAAGAAAAAAAAAAAATTATCATATAGAATGATAGGCAAAATCAGTTTAACCGGGTTTAAAAATTCATTTAATGTTACCCATTGTTACTGCTATTTATAAAATAAAAGCAGACGTTATCAGAACTATCATCTAGACAGAAAAATATATGATCAGTGAAATTCTAACAGTATTTATGTAATTTTCAACATCCCAACAGATAAAGAAATACCCCAAACTTCCTAACAACCTTTCGGAATAGTGATAGCTAACCACTAACACCTCATTTTTTAATAAAACAGTCTAAATGAACTTACACGGTCATCACAGTCTGAGTCACTCACTCATTATTTGTAACATACAAAATATTTGTGAGATTGGTTGACACTTTCAGCTGAGACATAACTATAATACACAATAACTAATTACTTTTATCAAAATTTGATGCTGTTTGCTGTATCACTTCATGATGCTTCTAAATTTTTTTACATAGGCCAAATAGCAAGCCGCCATTTGTACCTGGTTGTTAATTTGAACTACTCTTGTGTGACAAACTAAGTTTAAAATGAAAATGTAAGAAGTTTATTTAAGTTTATTCTATTCTATCATTCTATAATATAAAAGAATTAATGAATAATTCAACTTCATTTAAAAATTGCTAGAAAGCAATGGTGCATAATGGTCTACCTTCAGTCATTATCTTCAATCATCGACAGCCTTTAATAGTCCACTGCTGGACATAGGCCTCTCAATCATAGAAATAGAAAGACATAGAAAGGAAGTTTTGGCCTACTATACCGCGCTGGCCAGACGGGTTGGTATATGGTTTGTTTCAAGTTTTCCTTCTCTTTACAGTTGTGTCCTAAGTAGTTTGGTCCCTTAGTTGTTTCTTACGACACCCATAGGATGAACTGGGGTTGTGACACTGGGTATTTTTAATTCGTCACTTCAATTGGCACTGTTAGATGTTCTCTGAATATATGTTTATTGATTCTATCGAGCTGTTAGATGTTATCTGAATATATATTTATTATTTCTATCTAGCAAAGATATACATCTTTTAGGGATACACATATACCTGCCCAAATATCACAAGACAAACTAGACTCAAAACCCTACATGCAATGAAATTCTCAAAAGCGCATGATATTAATGAAATCTCTTGAATAATTTAAAGGATCCCCTCCTTTAAATTATTCACTAAGCCATTTATTTTATTGTAACATGCTGCTCAAGGTCAAATGAATAACATTCATGATGAAATAGCACTGACATGACTGGATGACTTCAAATTTCATAATAATACTGTCACAAACTTGAACACTTTATAAAATAGGCTTATTGGTTATAATACACTTCTGTAATCTGTCTAAGCATGAGAGAATGGTATAAAAAGTAGGTACTAACTTCTGAGAAAAAAAATTATCTTTTTTGCTCAGACTATATGACAAGCAGATGTATATTATATTTGAATTATAACTATTTCCCTATACCTAAGCAACATGCTAAACCTTTCACCTAAAATCCCGCGAAAAATATATTTTATCCTCTAATTAGAACCATCCTACACCTCGTACCTCTCTCGCATTAATTTTTTCGCTAAATTGCCTTCCCCTGCGTCCTGGGACTCACTGCGGACTCTTTTCCTAACATTCCTTGTGTCTTGCATTACCTTTGATTCAATAAATCACGATTTAATATGAAGCCATGCTATATGCATATCAGTCGTTAAAACATGATTCAAATCCGACTTTACATACTTATCATGCCTAGATCAGGTTCAAAATATTTAATCCAAAATTTAATTGTGTGTATCAGTAACGGATTTTTTTATCCAGATGTAGGTACCAACAACGATGCTGTGCGAACGTGGAAAAAATTACAAAACCCACATCGTGTACATAACGTTTTTTGTCTTATAGGATTTCTTTATTCATCAGTTAGACAATATTCTAGTTAGAATTTAGAGAACATAAAATATTAATTATCCATTTTATAGAATGAAATGTCTTCAAACTAACAATATCTTTTATCAATATATAGTATTACTTACTTGAAATTGGAGTCGTGACAATACGAAGTGAACCACGCAACCGCAACGCACTGAATTCAGCCAGAAAATAGTTGAAATTGTTGAAAATGACAGTCTTTGAAAATGACAGCCGGCCGGCATGAAAAGATGGCGGATAAACGAGCACAGGTCGCCTTCCAATTTCCGGCTGTATAACTTCTTATGAAATTGACTATTATGAAAATATGTATTCAAATTTTACAGACAAGAATTATATTTAGAGATCAAATATAAAAGTTATAATTAAATTTATATGACAATGAATGCTGCTGCTGCCATCTCTATTTGATTAACACTAAAGACGTTCTACTATAATATCTGAACCTGTGTAAAACTGTAATAAACTTATTTCAAATATACCGCTAGATGTCACTGTAATAAATATTGTTATTTATATGTAAATTATTTTCAGGACTACTTTTACACGTTCATTCAAAAATGAATTAACAATCAAAATTGTAATATCTTTAAAATTAAGCTATAACATCCTATAGCGTCATCCATCTGAAGTTCGAAGTAGGTTATAATATTATTAAAAACTTTCCTAGATCTCTAATGCAAACCTAAATAAACTAAAACCAAAAAGATAATTTTATAGTATGAAAGGTTATAAATATTGTGTCAATGAAAAAACTCCAAAAAACTTAGTTTAGTATAAATAAGTTTATGATAATTAGTTTATAATAACTATAATAATATTATCTTTATTACTATTTCTAGATAAAAATAAATTGTATAAAATGAAAAATGACAAAACTTAGTAGGTAGTTATATCATTATTTTTAATTTCTTGTTTGCTCATTCATCGTCAGCCTATTGTCGTTTGTCGTCCACTGCTAAACGAAGGCCGCACCAAGGAGCGCCAACCATCCCGGTCTTGGGCAATCCGCATCCATCCGCCGGCAGCCATTTTGTTTAAGACGTCGATCGCGATCTCCACTCTAGCACATGTCAGCTCCAGTTACCCTTGATCATTAAATAGGCTTAATCTCTGTAAGTATCTGTCAGATTTGAATAATTATTTTTGTAATGGTGAAGTATTCCTTGTGGAAGCTGAGGAAAGTAACATATATGATGATAAAACTATTACCTATGACCAATGACGTATTATAATCATTGTCTATGACAGGTTACTTATGTTGTTTCCATCTTTTTACTGGACCGGCCTGTTAATCTAGTGGTTAGTGATCCTACTGACTACTGTCCAAGGTTCGATTCCCACCCTGGACAAATAATGAGCACGATCATTTGTATTGTGTCTGGATGTAATTTACCTATAATATGTATATATTTAGAAATAGTTAAGTATGTTTATCAGCAATCTGATTACCATAATACAGGCTCTGCCTAGTTTGGGATCAGACGGCCTTATGTGAGACGTGAAAACAATTTAATGAGGTGAGATATCTTCCTACAGACCTTTTTTTTGTTGATGGGGTTGAAAATCCTTACAAATCTCCGGCTCCATGAGGACGTAGGAGCAAGGATTATGTGTTCATTCCACTAAAAGCCAAACTCACGTCCAAACATCCAGATCCTCCCAGGGAGGACCCGGGCCATGTGAGTTCATGTCTACCCCGAATCGACACCAAGCATGCTATCCTGGGAATAATAATAATAATATTCTACCACATACACACAACGCCATCTAGTCCCAAACTAAGCAGAGCTTGTACTATGGGTACTAGACAACTGATATAAATACATATATACTTTTTTTTTGTAAATACATGCATATTATACATAGAAACACCCAGACCAAATCAAACATTAAATGTTCATGCACACAAATGTTTGACTTGAGCGGGTATCGAACCCGCGACCTTTGGAATAGCAGTCCGTTACACAAACCACTACGCCATCCAGTCGTCAAAGCAAACTGCCCGATCATGTCTTAATGCGATCAGGCCGCCATCTTATCTCCTTCCTACAGAGACCTACGACGCATGCATATTTTACAGGATGCCTATTATTTTACTAATTTAGGCGAAAATAGAAAGTAGGTTTATTAGGTTATCTCACTAATGGGTGGGACTCGTAAAACTGCTCCTAATGTGACCACTTGACCTTTAACAGATTTGGAGCAGAACAGGTTTATTACCATCCCCTATATAAGGTGAAGTTCATTGCTCCCTTTGAGGAAATCACAGAAATAAGGGTAAGTACCTACCTAGTACCTACAGATGTTTTAATGTGTTAGTTAATTTAGGTACACCTTAACAGTCTTTTGCAAAAAAAATAATGTTTTTGTCAGTAATGGACGATATCGGCATATCGTTAAAACATTTTATTTATTAAAAATGATTCATGGTTGGTTAACTTAGAACACGGTTTTTATGAACGAGTTTGAAAATTTCTTTTTTTAGATATTTTATATGTAGCTAGATCTGAATTCGAAAGGGTAAACCTCCTTTCTAAGGAGAGGCCTATGTCCAGCAGTGGACTATTAAAGGCTGTTGACGATGAGATCTGAATTTGATAAAAAAGCTTTCTGCTTTCTATTGATACATTGAATTGAAGAATACCTTCTACACAAAATTTTGCGTTCTTCCAGCCACATTTTTCAAAAAGCCAACATCACGTGGTATTCCCAGGCGGTCACCCACCCAAGTACTAACCACGCCCGATGTTGCTTAACTTCGGTGATCGGACGAGAACCGGTGTATTCAACATGGTATGGACGTTGGCGAATGTTAAAGCAAATTTAATGTATGGTATCCACAGTTAGACGTCAATTTATATTAAAAGTGTCGTTCCAAATTTTCGTACGAATTTTTCCGTCTAGCCCCCTTTCACAACGCGCGATAAGGAACTTCGTTCCAATAGGCACTATGACTCGGGATGATATCAGGATTCTAAAGATTCGAATTTTTTAATCATTTAGAAGTACAGAAAAGGAATTCTGATTTAAAGTTCAAGTTTCAAAGGTACAATTATTCACTATTGAGATTCATATAAAGGCATATCTGAGTTTCTCATTACGAAAATATATAAATACTTCGCCATTTTGTCCTTTGAAACTGAGCCAACACGACTGTGTTACTTCTTATTACTAGAGGCAATAAGGATAGGGGATTTATAGTGGGCTATAAAGGTGGGTTCCTTTGCTACAGAGCTCTGGGTACACTGTAATGAGTGTTAGTTGTGGATGTTTGTATTTATGAGCGTTACTCCAACATTTCGTGATATAGGGACATCATCAATACCTATAAATATAATTGAAGTGTTTGTAAAAATATTAGTTTTGTAAGCTCCTACAGCTATTTGTACTATACTTATGTTTAAAAATCAGTTTTTAAAACTTTTGTCTGTCTGTCTGCCTGTTTGTTCGCATAATCTTCGAAACGGCTAAGGATTTTACTTTACAGCAGGTAGCTGCCTATATAAGGACTGATTTAAGCTAATCTTCTAGCCGAAAATATTAAGGGGTTTGACCAAAAAACAACAATAACAAAATCTGGTTTTTATATATTTCTGAACACATGCATTTTATAATAAATAAAGATCTTCATATTAAATTGGACGCGGATGAAATCGCGGGTATCAGGTAGTCAATTAAAAGTCATTTATGAATTCATAAATTGACTGTTTAAGGTACCTTATTTACAAAGTAATTATGTTCTTACAGAATTTTTTCTTTATATCTCCGGTTCTAGCTGAGTTATGTGGTTCGTTTATTTAATGAACTCACTGAAATGAACTCTTTCATTGGAGTTTCACCCACTTAGTTAAGTTAAGAGAAGGGCGCTCATTCAACTTAAGCTTAAGGCTGTACACCAGCAATGTTCAGCTCTTTATTAATAGAAACTATTTTTTGAATCATAAACTAGTAGGGCTTTTACTCTCCTACTCTCTGGGTACTTGAATTAACTTATTTTCTGAGAGAAGTTATGAATCGTACTTTTATTTAAAGGTCTACTAGCAACCGAAATTACTAGTATTCCCGTTAACTCCTTCCGCTAAGCTAAATTGCTTGTGTTAGGAGTGGTTTCACGTCGGTAGTGTACTGGTCAGGATCTCTTGATTGCAAGTCCAATGCCTTAACCACTAGGCTAGAGCCGCTTCCGCTTGTGTGTTTCTGTGTTTAGTTAAGATCTAAATAGCAATGTTTATTATTATTATTATCACGATATTAACGTACCTGTTATAAACAAAAACATCTTAATACGTATGCAACATGTTAGGTATCTTCACAAGAGAATAGTTTATAGTTTTCCTCCACAAAGGCCGTATTAAGTTATTTCAGGCTAAATGTTTGACATTCCCTACCTTGTCTATGCTATCTTGGACAACTTTGTGAGTTGTGTCGTGACAACCTGAATCTTCTCACAAACGTGCAACAATGTTTCTAAATTTGGTAGCGTTTGTATGTTTCACTAGTAAACTAACATTTGCAGGATAATATGTGCAAAGTTGAACTCAAAACATAGCTTTAGTTATCCATAAACGTTGTCACAGAATAACTATTACTGTTCATAAAGAAGTGCTCCGTGTAGTGACGGATTAAGAATACGGAATGTCACTACCCCAATTCATCCCGTGGGTGTCGTAAGAGCCGACTAAGGGCGCAAAACAATGCAGGACACCAGCACTGCAAAAAGAAGGAAAACTTGATACAAACCCTATACCAACCCGTCTGGCCAGCGTGGTATAGTAGGCCAAAACCTTCTTTGTAAGGAGAGGCCTATGTCCAGAAGTGGACTATTAAAGGCTGTTGATGTGTGTGTTCATAAAGAAAATAGACTTAAACTAGACTGCCCAGTTGGTCTGGCTGGTGGAGTGGTCATCCTGACTGCAAAGCTAGAGGTCGTGGGTTTCTTTTACCATCCAGGACATATAGTGAAACGCTCAGAAGGATGGGGTTCTTGATGTAAACACAAACTTTGTAACAGTATTTTATTTGACTTTTCAAAAAACTCTCGCTACACAGCTGTACCCGACGGGTTCACAAATCCAATAATAATGGCGGGTTCACAATTCGAAAAATGGCGGGTTCACAATTCAAAAAAATGGCGGGCCGAGACAGTGTTGCAACATTCGGAAAACAATCGATTCATGAGTCGACTTAAAATTATGATTATGAATAACTTGGGTTTTTAGGAATATTACTATTAGATTAAATTAGTGTTTAAAGTGACTAATATTATTAATTAGTGATGAGTATAAATATGGTAAGGGATAAAATTAATGACTGTTACAGTCGGCCATCCGTCACATAAACGAGTCCCTTCGTTTAGAGTTCTAATCAACAACATTAAAACTGATCATCTAACTTTATGCTTAGATATAGCTAGACAAAAGGGGGTTACTTCACGTCTTTCACCATCAATTTGCCTTGGCTGCGTGTTATATCATATCACTCATGCGTGGTTAGATTCCGCTTGAACTCTGTGCTATGACCCTCAAGGACATATCACTCATGTCCAGCTCGCATCCAACCAAGCTCTGTGCTATGAAACACCCTCACTGAGCACATAATCATTCATCGAATCTGCCAAATCTGCCAAAGCTCTCAAATAGGGTAAGTAGTTATCCTTTTCAAAATGCACTCATGCTCGGTTTGATTTAACTAACCGAAGCTCTGTGCAGGGTGTAATATTCAGCTCGTGTTCCTAGGTAGCAAGTATCTCATGTAAATAAGTATCATCAATATCCTAATTCCCAGTCGTCACCAAATGGTTCACTCAAATTAATTAAATTCTCCTATTAAGATAATCGATTTGATTAAATACCTATTTATAATTACCTATAAAATAATGTCATACAAGTAGATCATTAGTACTAAAGTTACATATTTGTGAGGTACCCGCAAAACATAACAACAAGAAAATTAGTCGTAGTTTTATGCATTAAAGAAATAACACATCCTTTGTAACAAGATATTATTGATTTTAAACGATATGTGTTTAAGGAAATATTGTTAAGTATAAATTAAGCTAACCATTTTTGGGTATAATGTGACAAAGTCTGTATTATTTATTAACAATCAATAAATCTTAAAAGTAATCATCTATTATAATAACTAGATACTTTCGTCACTAGAAGAATATGTCGGTGCATCAAAGCTCATCCAGGGATAGATTTTATCAATCGCTACCACATTCTCATATGCTTTTCCCTTCCGTGTAACCGGTGTGTCTACTATAAGGAACCTGTCATTGGGCAAGATCTTTTTGATTCGATACGGCCCTTGGCATTTGGATTCTAGCTTCTTCGACTTTCCTGAACCCGAAACAATAGCTCTTACTACCCTGACTAGGTCTCCCTCTTTATATTTGTTTGCTGATTTTCGATGCCTGTCAAATCGATCCTTATTTTTGTTTTGATTGTCTTTAATGCGATCACTAGCGTTTGACCTAATTAGCTCTATGGGTTCGTTAGTCTCACTATTTAAAATCTCTTCAGAGACATTATTCAGAATACCTTGCAATGGGTTGCCTAACCTTCGTCCAAACAGCAATTCAGTTGGTGCTCTTTTTGTGACGTCGTGTATCGAGGTATTTATGCCTAATTGGACATCGGGGAGGAAGGTGTCCTAAATGTCACTGCCTTTCCCGTGTGTCATACTTCCCAATGAGGCCAAAATCGTGCGATTGTATCGTTCGACCTGTCCGTTGGCACGTGGAGTCGCGACGGAGTTGAGAATATATTTCACCCCAACGGACTGAACAAACGTTTTAAACCTTTTGCTGGTAAAACTGGTGCCCCTATCGGTAATGAGTCGCGATGGAGACCCAAATAAACTAAAGTACGTTTTAAAAACTTTAATGCTTGCCTTTGATCTTGTACTACGGACTGCAGATAAATAGACATATTTTGTGAAAGAATCCACGATGACTAAAATGTACATGTTACCGTGCTTGCTGCGTACCTTCCCCATTTTGATGGGGCTACCAAGAGTTTCATCAACCAAATTCGTCTTTATCCGTAACACATCTAAAACCTTGCAAACGCACCCTTGATAAAATTAATTACTTGAGAACTTAAACTCTGTATAAGAACGCGACACACCCCATTGGCCATCTGATATTCACCAGGCAATAAATAGTATTCCATGTCGGGTTTACCCCTTATCGAACCTCCAACATAAACGCTACCACTATGATTAGTTTTGGCTCCAACTGTAACTGCGCTAAGTTCTCCTATACCTAATTCAAAATCATCAACTGCAACAAGCAGAAGTTTAGCTTCATCACTTACGTCAATCTTTTCGATTTGTAAATCGGTAGCAGTTTTTATTATTCTTAAATTAGGTCGTTCCGTAAAACTGTGCCCAAGGAGCACTGGAATATTTATAAGTGAATCATCTACTATTAAGACCTCTACCTGTTCTTCTCTTACATCCTGAATCTCGATTGTGGCAAAAGCTTTACCAATGGGTGCATAGGGAATACTGCCTAATCCTCTCAGCAATGGGCCCTCTACGGTGTCCCACTGAAGGCCAATTTTATGAGCATCGGTCTTACGAATAAGAGTAGCCTGGCTACCTAGATCAACTTTACAAGGAATAACTATACCGTTTATATTTATACCTACTCTATACTTGTCATTGCTATCGTCATCTATGGATACTTCAAGAACACTTTTCGGCGTACCGTGTGCGTTACTATTGTTAACGTTGTTAATGGAGACTTTTCCTGTTATTAGAGTTATTGGGATTCTTTTTAGGACAAACATGTGAGTCGTGACCTAGAAAATTACATTCAGAGCATTTGGTTATCGGTTTACGACACTGATAACTCATATGGCCAGTTTCGTTACAATTGAAGCAAACTGCATTCACTTTCGGTCGATTTCTAAAAGTTTTATCAACGCTTTTAGGTGGTACAGTGCTGGTCAAAATTGAGGTAGAGCTTTGAAACCGCCTATCTCTACTTGGCCCCTCTCTCCTAATACCATCATTGTACTCCCTAGGGTGGGACTTAACTGTCTTAAGGAACTCTAAAGTTCCCTCGGGTCTATCAAATTTTCCTGCTTGAGCGCTTAACCGAATTCCTTTGTCTTCAATACCAAATATTAAGCAGTCTACTGCCTGCTTACCAAATATTTTACAGCGATTTAATAAGTTAATCTTAGAAAAATAGTACAATTCTAAGGAGTCACCAGGGCGCGCTTTTCTATTAAGCATTTCCGTAAGCAATGAAAGGATTCTCTTAATAAAGTCTTCCACTCTTCCCACGAATGCCTAATAGATGGCAAGCCCTGGTACCAGGTCTTAGCATGTCCTACTAGTTTGGGCAGGGCATAGTGAACCGTTTGCCGGTCATTCCAATTATAAATTTCCGCGCATTCGTCTACTTTACTTATCCACATGTCAATAGTCTGTTCCCGAGAAAGCGGGTCAAAATCCGAAAGAACATTATGTAGTACAGGAAACGATTCACGATCCCTACCCTTAAAAATGTTGACAAATTCTTCAAAGAAATTATCTGGTTCCATGACCCTTGGCCGTTGGGATTCTTGGTTACAAATGTCGTTTCCGAGAGGGCTGCGTTTCTTTCTAGACGGGGAGTCACGCCGTCGATGGTTATCAGTGACATCGTGTGAAATCACATTGCGGCTACGTTGTCTCATTAGCTCTTGCTCTAACAGACGTAGCCTCTCGCGCAACTCATCATTCTCGTCGTTCCTTTTACGACTATGACTACGGCTATGGCGGCTACTCCTAGGTCTACTGCGACTGCGACTGCGTTGTTGATATCCACCACA